AGAAGGGGTCACATAAGAATTTGACCACTAATATCAACACCATAGGTGCCACTAACACCATCAAATTTACACGAGAGGAAGAAACCAACGGCTCAATGCCCTTCCTATACACTCTATTACTAAAGAGAGAAGACTGAACCGTGAAGATACTGGCCCATAGAACAGAGACCCATATGGACCAATACCTGAACTTCAAATCTCACCACCCTTTGTACCAGAAGTGAGGCGTTGTACGCACATTGCCCAACAAATGTGATACTTTGGTCACAAAACAACAGGACAAAATACAAGAGCAAAATCAAATCGCTAAGGCAATGACAATCTTGGCAAATCTGGAAGGGGCCCTCAAACGGGTACAAAACCAGTGTCAAAGTAAGGGGAAAACAGGAAAAGGCCAAACAAGGATAATATCAAAACCAAAGGTCAAGTGATCATCCCGTATATAATAAGTATATTGCAGTCATGGCATAGCAACAGGCATGAAGCCCCACAAGACGCTTCATAATATCCTAATACACCCTTAGGATAAAACACCTACAGAAAAACACTGCGACGCATCGCATATTGGAGAGACTGGAAGGCAACTTGGGGTTCGCCTTGGTGAACACCTGAAAGATTTACCAGATCAGAAAGGAAGCAATAGGAGTCCAAGATAAATAAATCGGCAATCATATACCATGCCTCACAGAAAAAGCATGTGGTTGACAGGGATAACTCCAAAATATTGGACAGAAAAAGCAATCTGTCAAAGCGGAAGATAAAGGAAGCCATCTGGATACATCGCAGTGGGTCAGTTCTAAATCGAGATGAATGGGCTGATAGACTCTCGCACATCTATGACCAAGTATTAAACAAAGCGTAGTTGAATTGAGTCATTTCGGTACATATATAACAACTATTATACATACGCTTTGTGGACAATTCGTTCACATTTACACACCGTTGTGGTCATACGCTTCACTGGTCATTTGAAATGGACAAAGTACACACTGTACTAGTCATCGAAACGTCACATATAAACACTCATTGATTGTGTAACAAGAAAACTTTCATCACAGAAACTGGCTATTATTTAGTGATAACTTCACTATACAAAATGATAATACATCGCCCAACAAACACCTACTTTATTCACGGAAAGTACACTACTTTTGTTTCACCTCTTATGAATGGTTGAATATTACATGAAACACTGCACATGTAACATACGTAACAAGCTTGAGCGGTATCAACTACTCCACCAAACCAGTTCTTTTAGTGATAACAAAATACCGAATCTGATTGGTATAAATATGAGGAATGATAATGAAAAATGACCTGTTAGATATCGTGTAATGCAAATAAAGATGCAAATGTCCGGTATATGTTTTACTCATAACATTTCATGTGTAGATAATGTCCTTAAACTTTAGGCAGTAGAAACCACATAGGTTATTGTCAGATATATTGCAGTGTTTTGGCGCTGAGTGGTGTAAACAAATAACAGGTAAGTTGAATTTATATTTCGTATTAAAGTTAAATTCTGTTTGGTGCTCTTGTTTGACATTGCCGTAGTTTTTTGTCTATTTTTCTTCAAATCATACTTCCAGATATGTTTTCGGCTGCAAACTGACCAATATATAATAGATTATTATATTTAGAAAATCATTCGGAGAATGTGTACGTCATCATTTTCTTTTAATTGCTATTTTAGGGATGATTTTAACAAGTCCTAGTTTGACTTTCGTGTTTCTATATATATATACAAAAGAAAGAAAACAAGTTTAGACTATCGGATCTCCAGGAATAAAACTAGCTAAAGCGTAAGCAGTGAACTTTAAAACGTATCAGTTTACTATATCAAAATGTAGAAAATGTCGTTTATAAATAGTTGACTTTAAATATGATAAAAAAAAGAACACTAAGAGGAATCGGTAGCAGCGATTTAAACACTTGGAATATATATTTTCTTATTTATCTGTAAGTCTCCCGTGACCCTTACACGTGCATGTGGATTTTACAGACTGATTTAAAATCAGGATGGCTTTGGACTTGACAATTCATATTTGTAATTGTTATTTATGTGAAAGTATTAAGTCTCTATAAAGGCTCATCTGATCTTGTTCTTTGTTATTAAATTATTAGTGCTTTTCTGTATACATTATTACAAAATAGCTATGCTAGTATAAAGGTCGAACGACAGCCCCACTTTGAAAGATTTACTATCAACAAACAGCATTTTTAAGATTTTATGAAAAGTTTAACAAGATACTATTGGACTCTATTCAAACATGTCTCCTTTTATTTTAGTCTAAATTAAATTAAATGGCATAAAATAAACACCAAAACAAATCTTATCTCAAGGAAAACCAATTTTGACTGAACCACCATTAACATTGATTTTCAGGATGTCCAGGACCCGATGTGCCTTTAGTACAATGTATTCGGAAGAAACGAATGTCGACACAGAAACTGTCGTTGACCCTGTCAAATATCGCTGTCATTGTTTAAAATTTGAATTCATAATCAAATGTTTTAAAAGAAATGTTTTTAAAAACGGAATCTAAATTCCATTACCTGTAAGCTCATTTTTATGTCATGGTCATTAATCATAACTAGTCATTTTGAATCGTGAAAGATTCAATTTTATATTATATAAACATCGCCGTTTTTAGTTACACTACGCCCAAGAGATACATTTTATCGATGTGACCGAAATACTGATTTGGCCTACTGTCGATGAAGCAACGGATGCTTACTGTCAGCTACTCTGGTCTTATTCTCCTCGTACAATTCAAATGATCTCAGCTTATCTTATATCTTATATCTAATTTACATTTTCCGTATCTTAATTGGTTTGAAGCATATTGTTATGATTTAGACAGTAACGTATGTGAATGATATTGGTAATTCCAGTTATTGACCTTCACATCTTGTAGCTATTACACAGTCTAAATAAGTTTGAAAATTCAGAAATAGTTTTTTCAATAGTCATAAAACTAGCACGATATATAAATTTCGATATTCCATAATTATTGTATAGCCGAAAAACTGGAAAGACTGATGTACGCTTTGCTTATTTTGGTGCAAAAGCTTGGTATAAATGCTTTGTTTGCTGGCCAAATATGTTTTATACGCTTATTCACGTGTGAACGATTTTGCTGTGAATGCATGATCATGTTAATTTCATATTTTACTCCACAAAAAGAAACATAATAATTGGTGTTACAGTTATAATATGATGGCCTCTTGTTGCTTATACAGTTCATACATATTCGTAAAGATGACGTAATGATACAAATTATATGTTGAGTCATTTGTTTTGTAAGCAGCGAAATATGTTTTTTGGTAAATCATTAAAAAGGGGGAGCTATAATTTTAATTAATTGTATTCAAAATAGTGTATCGTGCAATGTTTGTGTTTTTTTTTCCTGTGATAAACATATGCGATTCATCTAATATGAGTACTCTATAGCATATATTGAAGACAAAGTTCTGGATCAAAACTGATTACACAACAAATTATAACAGAAATTGATATTGATTCTTTTCAAAGATAGTGTATAAAATAATTGTGGTACGACCATCTTATTCCATGCCCCGAAATATGTTTTTGCTTTTGAGAATATTAAAACCAGCTGACACTAGCTGACGAAAGCATCTTATTAAAAAAAAACACAACAACAAAAATAAGATTTAATGTTTTTATTTTGGTGTCTCGAACGAACGATAGTCTAAATGCTAGCGTTTGTTTGTAAACATTGACACGAGGTTGGCAGAAAGAAGTCTGCCAATATTTACATATAATCATTTGCGGTGAACTTAGTCACGTTCTACACTCAAGTTATTGAGAAATAAACAGACTTGCCAGCACTTAGGTTATCAATTCAGAAACAGTGGTAATTGTTAATATATAGTTACAAAACCGGTGCATTGTTCGATGTCAAACTTTAATCAATCTTTATGATTATAAATTACAGGAAGTCCTCGTTTTGTAGGGTATATATAACGTAATTTCAACTGATATAAACGTTATACATAAAGCAAGTTAACATTTGAAAGTTTTTTGATAATTCGAAATATGATTATATCAAACGTGCATGTGTAAACAATAAATGATAACATTATAATGAGGTTAATAATTTTGACATCAATATGTTGTTTTAGATTATAAAAGATTAACAATTTAAATATTACTTTAATAACGCTGGAAATATATATTTCAGTGAAACGTCAGATGACTTTTGACTATAGAGATAGCATGCTTTTCATTCTGATGAAACCATGTCCTTTTTACGAGAATGGGTCCTCGAACATATTCTAGTGTTCATTCTGGCACGTGTAATATGAACTATCAGTTGAAGCATACATTGACTGTCACAGCTTAATTGTAAACTTGTAATTGCATAGCAGGTCATAAAGGCCCCTTCCTATGATGTTATTTTATACATATGTTTCTACGCACTTCCAACATGGATTTTGAATCTGTTGACTTTTGGTATCACGGACGAGTCCTAGATTGATAAAATCGCCTTGTGGTACGGTTAAACTGATTTGTTTACTTTTGAGCATCGACTTAATTTCGTACTGCTGCTTATCATCTTTTTATATTTCAGAGTGGTTCACTTGTAAACTAAAATTCCCCGAGATTGACCGGATTGTTACATAATATTTCCCGGTACGTATTACCTGAAATAATAGTTTAAGAAAATGACCTGATGTAGTCAAAAACACTTTTCTACAGCAGCCCGCTGGTACAAAGGTATTGACATATTTCATCTGGTAAGAAATGAAGTGTTTGTAGCCGCATGCAATATATATTCCACGTCGGAAAGTGTTAGGTAAATATGTGGCAATGTTGCGACTAAAATAACAAGTTGTTTATTATCTGGCACTTTAAAGCTACCGTACTTTTGCTTTTAAGCTGCTATTATGGCTTTTTATTCTTTTGATCATAAAAACTAATGATAAATCCTAAATGGACGAAACCGCCATATATTTCAGTAAAAGGCTACCGTTGAATGTTTTTTCGGTATCGACAAACTGTATTTGGGATTGTTTCGTCCTTACTGCCTTTTGCTCACTACTTGAACTGTTGAATCGAAAATCTCTGAAAAATATAAATTAACATGTAGATTATTTTCTTTAAAGAAAATGGCAAGTCCGAAGGTTGGACAACATGAATAAAGGATGTATTGATATACCTATACATTCCCCGCTATGTTTAAATATAATTATATCGTAAGAATGTGTGACAAAATACGTTTTTAACTGAATACCATATAATAACAATCGAAAACTACACAATGAGACATTTTTGGCATGGTAAGCAAAATATATTAATCATTATTAGTCGTTTCCCTTGTATTGATATATCTATTTCCACGTCGGTTCCTGTGTTTGATTGACCTGTCATTGTGTGTTGCCCTTTGATCTATTTTATGATATATTAACCTATAGGACGTGTATGACATTGACACTATATATCCTTCAAAGTGCCGAGGATACTACTGATGGCGTTAATATCAGCTTTAAATGTAATGTTCCGATTATTGATATTATTAAAAATAGATAACACTGACTCTTTCTTCAAGATCGATGTTCTAGTAACTTATTAAGCGTATACGACGTAAAAATCAAATGCTGATGATTCTGGCTTTGAGAACGATTTCGAAATCGTAAGATCTTTGGTATACATGTATATGCATTACGAAATTGTAGGCATTCATATAAAGCATTTTTTGCCAAATTGAATAAATAACCCTGAATATCTTTATATTGTAATTGATGAGGCAAGGATCAGGTAAAAAAAAACATGAGGTTAGAAGAGTTTTATTAGATTGCCCAGTATTTACAAATTATAAGAGAAATCAAATTCCGAAGTTTGATACTGACATATCCGTACTCAGTAATAAGGTAATATATATATATTTGATCTAATTAAAATATCAAGCTGATGCAAATATAGATGAGAATCATTGGATACTCAAAATACTGAAGATTTACTTTTTCTTATAAAGGCACTGTCAACTGACAACTGGACTCCAGTCACGAAGGGTGCAGTACTATCAACACTCTCTATCACCCTGCGAGCTTCCGGAAAGAAGACATTCCTTACTTATTTGCCCTGCAATATCTCTCTTTTTATGGCCAGTTTCGAGACGAAACATCGCGCTTTCTCTCGCTGTAGGTCGGGAGTAATACACCCTTTCGATTATTACAACCATTCACAAAACATGCTTTGTGAAGGCGGGATGACGTGTACTAAAGTGGATTATTGTGGTCAATTATATATAAAATGTCCCTTTGTTCAGTGTTTAGCTCTTTCTACCGCACATTGCTGCATCATGAGGATTTGGAATTTAGGAAAAGGGAACCAGTTCATATTTTTTTATATCAAGATTTTGAAAAGTAAGATTAGCGAATACAGGATCACCTTGTTGTATAATTATACAGTTAAGTTAAAGAGAATCATTTAACTTTTCTGAGTGCCGTTGTTAAATACTTACACAGTGTTTACCAAATTATATATGATTTTTCTTTATGACAACCTCTGTGAAGACCAGGTACGGTTTATGGTCTGAATGATCAAACGCGTACGTCCGTAATCTGTCAAAGTACTGATCGATGATGGCTTGTTTCTCATCCTCCGTTCGGGAAACAGACAACCCCTCGTAAAGTACGTGTTGCATCCACGGGTAGACCGATGCGACTATTCTGCGGGAATATTCCAGTTTTTCTGTCTTGTCTGTAAAATAAGAAAATCATTGATATCTTTAAATTGTTTTTGTTTCAGAAGTAACAACTACTGATAATACTTTGCTAACGATTATATTTCGATGGAAGTGGTGCAATTTACACAAAAATGATGTTAAAGGCAGTTTTGAAATTATTGAATAAGCATTAAGCTTATATTTCTCATTGTGCTACATATGATACATATATCGATTTGGTACTTACTATTAGTTAGATAAATAAATGTAATGTGAAATGTAAATCACACGGAATTGCATCATGAACTTGCAGGGCAAATTGCTATTGACCTGATGTTATTTATAGTGTAGCCAATGCTTTGATTCCTAGATACAATGTAGTATACACACTATTGATATTTTGATCCTCCATAGATGTACTGCAACATTGTATATGCGTTTAAGCAATGTTCATTTCTCGATGTCCTGTTATGTACTAGCAATAATGCCATGTTTGTCTTCCTCTTAAACAAGAACATGTTATAATACGTTACAAACGATCCTGTATCAGTAAACCAATTAAAACAGTGTACTAATTGAAGATTTCTTCACCACATACCTACATACTGCAGTCCTCTCTATATTTTTAAATATTACTGGCTAATAATCTGACAGGAGAGTTAAAAAAGCATGCTCGCATCTACACAAAACGGCCCTTCTTTTCTTCGAATAACTTCCTCTTAATCAAAGACCTTAACATCACGTCATTGTAGTGATAATAATAATGTTAATGCGAGGGTCTATATACCGCTTTATCACAACCTAGTTCTTTGGTCGTCTCAAAACGGTTCCGACATATTATCCCTGGTTATAGGGCATTTGCAACCAGCCAATATCTTTATCAACTCCATGGGGAGCATGTAGCCAGTGCTACCATTTCTGCGCTCACAGCTAGCATTCAACAGCATAGCCCAATCATGTACTCATTTACAGCAATAATACTGTATATGTATATGCTACCGACTTTCTCAGTACTGTCTTCTATACTTAACGCATGTCAAATAATAAAATGTATGTATTCGCATGAGTTTATACAATGTTAACAATGTGCATGGGATATTCGGCAGTACAGTTTCGCAAAAGTATCATGCTTTTTTAAGTTTAAGAGCATTGAAATACTATAATTTGAATTCAGGTTGGCGAACATGTGTAACATGTTAGGATATCGACAACAGAACAAAGCTGTGTCAGGATTTCAGAAATTACAAATGTATGCGTTTAGTAATCGTTTCGTCAGAGAGCGACGTTCCTTAACAATAGTCATAAAATCTTATAACCATCATATACCCTGAAGATTCCTCAGATATTCGCAGCAGTTACTCGCTCCTAAACAGGGAAATATGATACTCTCGATATTACAAATATATCCAATTGGCATATTTCTGAACAATGTTTCTACTCATATTCGCTTTTGAATATTTTCCTCAACCCTACCTACCGCCATTTGTGTATGTTAATATCCTAGTATTCAAGGCACGTGTTGCCCATCCTTATGCTACCTGAGTGTAGCTCACCTTTGTTGACAATATCAAACGTTGGGTGATGCAGATAGTGTTTAATTAATTTCACAGACACAAGTTCCATTCCAAGTTCCCTTACTTCCGGTAGTGCACTGGTGAACGGTTCCTTGAATTCAGCGGGCGTTCTCAGATAGTCGCTATTGAAGTTAGTTGCAACGTACTCTTCCTTTAAGTATATAAGTCGTTTAAAAATACTATAAATATTTATTTAGAAAGGGAAAGGAAATTAATATATTTTGTTTTAACAAAAGCAACGCTCCTAAGTTTAAATGTTAAACACATTCTTAAACTAGCATTTCATGTTTAGTCTGCAGAAGAGTGTAAACGACACTGCAACACATTGCGGCCATTTAAGACTCACCAGGTGTAGAAAAATTAAAAGAACAGAAATCAATGTCAAAACATTTTGAAACATATATAGGAATATATCAGCATGAAAAGGTGCATATAGACTAAATAAAGTACAAGTTGTGGCAAGACCTGCGAGTATATAAATATGCCATACCACTAAACTGTTTTTGTCATTGGAGTATCTGTGATCTGAGGTGGTAATATGGCACGTGTCATACCACTAAACTGTTTCTGTCATTGGAGTTTATGTGACCTGAGGTGTTACTATGGCACGTGCCATACCACTAAACTGTTTCTGTCATTAGAGTACCTGTGACCTGAGGTGGTAATATGGCACGTGCCATACCACTAAACTGTTTGTGTCATTGGAGTATATGTGACCTGAGGTGTTAGTTTGGCACGTGCCATACCACTAAACTGTTTCTGTCATTAGAGTATCTGTGACCTGAGGTGGTAATATGGCACGTGCCATACCACTAAACTGTTTCTGTCATTAGAGTATCTGTGACCTGAGGTGGTAATATGGCACGTGCCATACCACTAAACTGTTTCTGTCATTAGAGTATCTGTGACCTGAGGTGGTAATATGGCACGTGCCATACCACTAAACTGTTTCTGTCATTGGAGTATATGTGACCTGAGGTGGTAGTATGGCACGTGCCATACCACTAAACTGTTTCTGTCATTAGAGTATCTGTGACCTGAGGTGGTAATATGGCACGTGCCATACCACTAAACTGTTTCTGTCATTAGAGTATCTGTGACCTGAGGTGGTAATATGGCACGTGCCATACCACTAAACTGTTTCTGTCATTGGAGTATATGTGACCTGAGGTGTTAGTATGGCACGTGCCATACCACTAAACTGTTTCTGTCATTAGAGTATCTGTGACCTGAGGTGGTAATATGGCACGTGCCATACCACTAAACTGTTTCTGTCATTGGAATATCTGTTACATGTGGTGGTAATATGGCACGTGTCATACCACTAAACTGTTTCTGTCATTGGAATATCTGTGACCTGAGGTGGTATTATGACACGTGTCATATTACTAAACTGTATCTGTCATTGGAGTATCTGTTACATCTGGTGGAATAATGGCACGTGCTATACCACTTGAAGAACTGTTTCTGCCACTGGAATATCTGCCACCTCGGGTGGTAGTATGACGCGTGCTATACCACTTAAACAACTGTTTCTGCCATGCAAGAATCTTTTACCTGGGGTGGTCATAAAGGCGAAACTACTGTACATTGTTATTCATCGGCACACACATTAAACAAAACAAACAGATACCTACATACGATCAGTGTCTTTTTACACAAAAAGTATCAAAATAACTTACATAAAAGGCCCTATTTTAAATGCAAAATCGTTTCAGCTATTTTTTTTACAAATCGTTAGCAAATAAATGAAAGATGGCAATTATTGATAGCGTCAAAACAACAACAGATACGACAAAGTGGCATCATTATAAGTAACGACATTTACAACTACTTGTGACTACTTTGTTCATATCTACAAATATATTTGCTGTAACACATCATAGAAGATACAATAAATATATTCGCTACTTACTTGCGTAATAACACATTCCGTTGCCATATCGGACACGAATCTCCCCAGGCTGAGGAGTCCCTTTTCTACAGTCATCGATTTATCGCCATTACCGTCTGAAGATATGTTCATCGTGATGAGAAATCCACCTGAAAGGCAGATCATGAAAAGTATGTAACTGGCAAAGATGTCAATTTAGGTATTATGAAAGTATGATTCAAAGCGTATGCTTCAATTCGTATGATGAACCCACACATAAAACTGCAATCTGTCATTTCGCGTTTAAAATTATATTTAGATCAATAATAATTAGCCCAAATTATAATGTTATATGAACAAAATAATCATAGCATTGGTTAGAAGATAGTTATTAGAATAACAAATAGAAAAATGGATGATAATATACTTCGTGCTAGACAAAAATCAACAGCCTACATCAGCCACCGGCAGAATCAACTATAATCGAGAAGGAAACAACTATAAAGAGTGAAGCTACAAGGGCTTCCTGGTAAATATGTCTGTAACCGATCTGCGTTCATACTGGCATGAACATTAACAATATACCGTTCAATCTTGAGATTTACATTCTAAATATTTAGTTATTAATGACCTAAAATTAGATATTCCCTTGTATCACATAATCGGCCTGTTATCCAGTGAATTCGCCAGTGTAAGACTTTTGCATATGTCACTAGTGTAATATACCCTGGAGAGGTGTTCATTAGCCGTGCCAGTCAGAAATCGATTGTGACGTCATACTATGGACAATGACGTGACGTCATCCATTGTGAATGCCGCAACAAAATGGCTGTCTCCGTTTGATGAAGCCCTCTACAATTTGGCTTTAAAATCAGTTATATGAAAGCCAATTAGTTACCACAACATGATTCAATTACCAGGTTTTAGTTCCCGTCCCCTTGAAATCACAAAAGACCTCCAATCATCTTTTGCCTGTTCTTTCATCAATCGGAGTTCAATGGCATCTGACTTATCAATGGATATTCCATTTTTGATTTGACAAACCCTGAAATTGATTGATAACATACGGATTTAAAAACATATTACTTTTTGGAAAGTTCTAAATATTATATTCTACAGATTTTGCATGATACAAACGATGAAACATAGTTATACATCAAAGATTAAAACTAATGTTTATATTCGACATCTATTAGAGGACATAACAGAATATGTATTGCTGACCGTGTGTGTACATAAAAATATTCTGAACTTTGAATGTGATAAAATAATTGCATAACGTCATATATATATGAGGAATTGTTGCTCTACGAACACAGCTTGACACGTAATCGAGATTGGCGCAAAACGTGAAAACGTTGTGGTTTTTGATGTTTTTTCAAATGTTATATTGCTTGCTGTTTTGCTTGGAAATGTCAAAATCATGTTAACGTTTAAATTGATAAGGGGGTTTGTTACACGTATAGCGAGGTTTGTTACACGTATAGCGAGCGAGGTTTGTTACATATATAACGAGGTTTGTTACACGTATAACGAGATTTGCTACATACATAACGAGGTCTGTTACACGTATAACGAGGTTTGTTACACGTATAACGAGGTTTGTTACATGTAAAATGAGGTTTGTTACACGTATAACGAGGTTTGTTAAACGTATAGCGATGTTTGTTACACGTATAACAAGTTTGTTTTACACGAATAGCGAGGTTTGTTACATGTATAACGAGGTTTGTTACACGTATAGCGAGGTTTGTTACACGTATAGCGAGGTTTGTTACACGTATACAGTAACATATTATACATCAAAGATTAAAACTAATGTTTATATTCGACATCTATTAGAGGACATAGCAGAATATGTATTGCTGACCGTGTGTGTACATAAAAGTATTCTGAACTTTGAATGTGATAAAATAATTGCATAACGTCATATATATATGAGGAATTGTTGCTCTACGAACACAGCTTGACACGTAATCGAGATTGGCGCAAAACGTGAAAAAGTTGTGATTTTTGATGTTTTTTTAAATGTTATCTTGCTTGCTGTTTTGCTTGGAAATGTCAAAATCATGTTAACGTTTAAATTGATAAGGGGGTTTGTTACACGTATAGCGAGGTTTGTTACACGTATAGCGAGCGAGGTTTGTTACACGTATAGCGAGGTTTGTTACACGTATAACGAGGTTTGTTACACGTATAACGAGGTTTGTTACACGTATAGCGAGGTTTGTTACATGTATAACGAGGTTTGTTACACGTACAGCGAGGTTTGTTACACGTATAACGAGGTTTGTTACACGTATAACGAGGTTTGTTACATGTACAACAAGGTTTGTTACACGTATAACGAGGTTTGTTACACGTATAGCGTGGTTTGTTACACGTATAGCGAGGTTTGTTACACGTATAACGAGTTTTTTACACGAATAGCGAGGTTAGTTACACGTTACATCTGGCTGTTTTATGTTGCTATTGAATCTTGCTATACACAAAAATAAAATCAAAAATATTCATTTTGGTATACATCTTTTTCACGATTTATTTTTAACATGCAACTGTAAAAACAGCTAGATCACCTGTTCCGACGTCCAGTCGCACTAATAGATTGTTTGAAGTAATTCTTACGTTTCTAGTAAATCACGTGACCATCATGAGAGACGACGTAAACACATCCTCGAAAAATCTTCCCACGTATGACGATCGCGTGTAAATTTATACAGTATGGCTTTCAGTACAAACAAATATTGGTCGGCTTATGGGTTAGTTAGTTATCAGGTTGCATCGTCCTTTCAACAGCTAAGTTCATTTATAGACGTGCCTCAATATGTGGTGTGTGTTCGTGCATGTGTATATGAGTGCAGGAGACAGTGTACCGATATGGTTTAAGTGTTAATGTTCATCTGATCATGTTATAACCTTCCAATGCTTTAAATGTTGCGAAGGCGTCATATAAACAATATAAGCATTGACCAATTATATACCATGCCATAAATGCAATAAATTGTAGAATGCTTTTCCAACTAGCAAGTCAATTTTACTATGAATTTGCTGTCCAACTTTAACCATGACAGTCGATTACGACCACAATCATAGATACACAATAAGAGTTATCTAAGTGCGTAAAATAATATCAGTTTTATGACTAACTGACCGTATTTCAAACGATATTCTTAAAACTTAATTATGTATGGTATGGCTTGATTTTATTACATTTTCGTGCAGATTATAGCGGAACGGAGATACATGTCTCTGTAGATTCGGGAAAAAAATATATATAGTGTCCCGGTAGATTCGGGAAAAGTATAAGTCTACGAATATTCGGTGTTCTTTTTAACAATGGCAATCATATATACAGGGACAAGAGCCTTATGACTAATTTACTGTATTTTAAGCGGTATTGTTAGAACTTAATACCGTCTGGTATTGCTTGATTTTTTAACTTGCAGATTCCGGGAGAGTATATGCCTATTGTATCCAACAACGTATTCTACTGAGCGGCTTATTTAAACCGGCAAACTGGCTTCGGCTAGGCAGCACTAACATACCGCCTCCAGCACGAACACATACACACCAGACTCCCCCCCCCCCCCCCCCCCCCACACACACACATTCACACTGAACACATGGAAGCACCGCCTTAAATGACCTTGGCTGCTAGTGGATGATAGACAAATGAAATAAAAAAACGCCAAACCATTTCTAATATTCACACATACAAAATGTATTGAAGTTTAAAGTTATTAGCAGCCTGTAAAAACTCCTAATTTTCGAAATAAATCTGTGCTATAAATCTAGTAATCATGCCATAAAATAAATATTTCCGAGTCAAAATTTTAACGAAAGAACAGAAAAAAACCCATATGCAGCCATTAGTTCATGCCAGCTTACCATTACGAAAGTAACTTCTAGTAAAATGAAAAAATCGTCATTAAACTAAATAAAATTAGGCTGATGAAATTGAAAAATACGTACTGTTTAGACAAATAATGTGTAGCTACAGAGGAAATCGCGAGGTCCAGGGAATTGTTAGGGAGACACTGTTCATACATAGTCCTGGGTATGATCACCGGGTAGACATTACCTCTGACCGTTAGTCCGGAATCCTGTCCGTCACCTGAATTGCAAGGTATTATACCAAGATTTTTAAAATCATAGCAGTGCCTCTTGGATAATCGTCAGTGAATTATCGCTGATCTATCT